AAAAATTAAAAAATTAGAAATGAAACAAATTATTGGGCCAAAAATTTGGATTTAGAAATTGTTAATTTGTTAATTTGTTTAGAAAAATTAAAATTAAAATAATTTAATTTACTCAATATAAAAAAAAATTAGAAAGATTCGGTTCTTATTCGATTTTTCGGTTCTTGGTTTAGAACCGAGAACCGAACTGTACCCGTTGGTTCTCAATTCAAATGTCCGTTCGGGTATTTAACCTAAAAAGAACCGCTTGGTTCGATTGAAATAAATACTAGTCTTAATAAAACAAGTTCTAATGCTAAAAGATTAGAAAAATGGCAAATATTAAAAAGAAGAAATGCTTGGGTCTGTCCAGCCTTAGGTCCAACCAGTCAATCTGTTCTATTAATAATTGTAATCTGAAAAAAATTTACATATTAATAGAACTTATTTTCCTTGTTCTGTTCCCGAATCTACTATACCTATAAAAGCATAGATTCTGCTATGGGTTTTCTAGTTAGCATACGTTGGGTGGAAAAGCTGTTAGTTTCAGAGTCATGAGAATAGGGTTCTTATTTGGTACAAATATATTTGTTAGCTTATTTGAATTTCTAATAGAGAAATAATTCTCTGTGCCATATGCCAAGATCTTTCACTAAGGAAATTCCCCCCCCCCCCCCCCCACAACAAAAAAAAATAAAAAATAAAAATAAAAATAAATAAATAAATTGTCTATGTATTGTAAATGTGTTTCAAGAGTAATCAGGCTACTGAATAATCTGCTTTTCACTTAGGTCGGGGAAGATTTTTATATGGTCTGAAATCCTGTATTATTGTGTTCTACAATTTGCAGACTAGAAAATGAAATGGAAGATCCACTTCCTTTACAGTTGGAAGCCTCTCCTTTATCAAGAGATACTTTATGTACCTTTCCTCCTGTTGGAACTGTCTTGAGAATGGTCACTGATCGAGGCAACAAGAAGTTAGGCATTAACTTCCTGAAACCAAATAAATGGGTGAAAGTTGTCCAAGTAAAATGTGAAGTTCATGCTGGATTGTGGCGTGCTGTGCTAATGCCCTCATCTATGGTTTACTATTTACCCAATAACGACCTCATATTAGAGCGTGAAAGGTAATTGTTGCTCAAAGTTAATCATTGTATGTACTGCACCTTTTCTGTTTAATTATTTTTACCAATACTCCTTTGTAGCTCAGATCTTATAATGAGCGTGTGACATCAAAATTCAAACGGATGCCATTGTCATGCTTTCCTGGGCCTTCTCCTATAACAGGTTTCGTTATTTTATAGGTATAGGTATCCTTTAATCTAGGGTTCTTGATGATGATTGTTGTTAACAACTGCCTTTTTATGTGCTAAATTGTCAGATACTGATTATCCTGATGTGCCTTTTGTGACTTTGATGAATGTTCTCACCCATCCAGAGGTCTCTCTCTCTCTCTCTCTCTGAGTGCGCATGTGTGCAGGACATTTGTGTAACTATCTGTCTTTTATGGAATTGCAGTAAACTAGACGTCACTAATGGATTACGAGTTCACAAATTGCAGGTGACATTCAAATTTAATTGTGTAGTCCGGGTTGTTGCAGCATTTCCGTGGCGGGTTGAAGACTTCTGCAACCCCCAGGGGATTTATAGGGTCAGGTTGACTCTAGAGGATCCCACTGCCAGAATCTATGCTTTTCTGTATGCCGAGGATGGGGTAAGCATTCGATCTTCTATTTCAAAATTCAACTGTTGCATTAGCAATAGTTTAGTACAACCGATTGACATATTCCTTTGAGGACTTTATGAAATTCAAGTAGGATGATTCTCGACTTTCCAATTTTCTAGAATCTATATATCCTGCTTTATACTTTGCCGTGAAGATCAAACAAAAAATCTGATTGCATTTTATGCAACTTTTGTTGAATATTAGTATAGGGTTTAAGGTTCATTATTACTAAAATGCATTTGTGCGTTAATAATCAATATTGTTGGTAATTCATGATTAGTACCATAGATTCTTGTAGCTAACAAAGGATTTGGTCCAGTCAACTACTCTTATAGCTAAACATTAATGGCACATTTAATGTTTTGGATTGGACTGCCTTGGATAGGATAAAGAAGAAGAAACATGAGCTAAAATCTTATATTTTTGTAATGCTCAGGAGCATTTCCAGATCATGCTCTCTAAACGTAGGTTCAATAACGAGGTGATCTTCAGTACTAATAAATTGAAGTAGAATTATTTACATTCCCATTATGTTTACGTTGATCTATAGGTGCAGTTTTTTGGAAGTCGTAACACAGTTGAACTGATGAGGAAGATGAAAGAATTACTTGGAATGACCGAAGGTGATGGTTGCCAGAAGGTCATTTCTAGGAATCCACCATGGATACAGTGTTGTTTGAAATCTTACTATATCGACAAAGCTAATATTTGGGGAAGTAGGAATTATCGGATCTTTGCCACTACATTCGTCGGCTGAGCATCTTTACAAATATCTTCACCCTAGTAACTTATTTCTTTGATGCGCGCTAGAGTTTACTATGTGTGTATGTCGTGCAGAATCATTTGCAATGTGAATATCGCTGCGAGTCATGTTGTTTAATGAACGCTTCATTTTGCTCTGTAACTGTTCAGGTGTCGTGCCTGTTTTTTGTTAGAGGAACTAATCTTATTTACTCCAGTCTTCAATTGAACCACAAATCTTCTTTTCTAAGGAAATCAAACTTCTTTATACAGTATAGTTTTTCAAACCAATGTGTAAGGCAAAATGTGTGATTAATTGTAAAATTTTACTTGTTTATAACCTTTCCAAACCTGCACATAACATTTCAGCTTGTTTTGCTTTAAAATCTTTCCTATTGTATCTTGTAACCAAACCCTTGGAAAATTTATGAAGTAATTACGAAAATATATGCACTGCAGAGGTTCAGGGACCAAAGAATAATAGAAACAGTAGAAGAACTCCCTGGCTTAACACAACAATCAGCACGTCTACTGAAAATATTATGAGAATCAGATTATTCATTTCATTTCTTTGCCTTATTGCGTTGTTGTACAAAGGACTAAATAAAAAAAGGGAAGAAAAAAATATTATGAGAATCAGATTATTCCTTTAATTTCTTTGCCTTTTTGTCTAGGTTGTGCAAAGGACTCCAAAAGAACCGCCAAAAAAAAAAAAAAAAAAAAAAAAGGCCAGAATTGATTTCCATCTAGAACTAGAACCGAAATATGGAAAATCCAATATTGTAATACGACTCCGTGTTACCACATCTCTTTACAAACGGGCCTATAGAAAATGCCGTCCTAACAAAACCAAACACCGCACATTCTCAAGGAAAAGAATCTCTTCTTCTCAGACATGGACGTGACAATGACAGCACTATGTTTCACGAAAAGTCACGAGTTCAGGTAAGTATGAGTGCACGGGGCTGTGCTATATGTACATGCCCCTATTGGCGCAGACAACAGGCCAATAGGGGGGGCGGAAGCAGTCCTGTCCAAGAAGATTATTCCGGGTGCACCTTACTCGACAGGTTGGTGTGGTGGGGCCATGGCTGCAGCAGCACCATGTCTCCGTTGCCGCTCACGGAGGTAAAGGACGGTTAGTAGGCAGACGAAGAGCGTGAGAATCGTTGCATTTCCTTCCTCAATAACAACATTTTCCACCCACGCCTCTACTTTCGGGTAAAAGCTAGGAAGTGAATCGATTACATGAACCTTAAAAACACAAAGTAAACCCAGTTCAGTTCACATATCAATCAGGCAAGTAAAAAGAGTAATAATTCATTTAGTGACGATGATCACCAAATCTGGGGCAATGGGCCTGTCATCAACATCACTCTAAATAAGTAACATTGTTCAAGTAAAAATGATTGAAATCAAATATGCCACCATATATTTATTTTTCTCCAAGGTGTTTGGAATGGGCAAAAAACACAGTAGAAAAAACGATTAGAAGGAAATGAAATTCCTAGTGTTTCTACACAAGCACAAATGGAAGATCAAACACGATGGTGAAGTTCTAGTTAGAAGATCAAAAGGAAAAGAGCAAACATGGAAAACAAGTGCTTAAATAAAATTTTAAAAAATAAAAATTTAAAATTCTAAAGATTAAAATTTCAAATTTAAAAAATAAAAATAAAAATAAAAATAGAAAAATTTCTTAAAAATTAAAAGAGTTCAAACTTTATGTAAAAAAATCTAAAAAAAAAATTTAAATGAACACAGATAAAAATATTCTAAGTCCACTTTATTAATTTTTATTTTTTATATTTTGAACTCAATTTATTATTTATTTTTGTTTTACTTTGGTAGCGAGAAAAGAATATTGTAAAATTCACCAATTTTAAAACGTAAATGTTACTTGATAATATATTAACATAAAATTAATCTATTTTTATTGATTAATCAAATTTTATGAAATAAAATGTCATAAAATAATTTTTCAAAATTTCAAACCAAATGTGTTGTCTAGGTTTCTGTTTTGGATAATAACCTCTCAAAATAACAAATCAAACGCATTTTTAACAATTTCAAAATAGACTCTCAAAACACAAAATTGAAAACTTAAATACAAACCAAGCAGACCCTAAACGTTTCTACACTAGCACAAATAGAAGATTAAACTGGATGACGAAGTTCCAGTTTGAAGATCAAAAGAAAAGGAGCAAACAGGAGGAGGACAATAAAAAAAGGCTCACCAGGAAACTATCAGCATAGTTCTTCCGTACCCACAAGCTTGCAAGGGCTAGCGTTACAGGCAACTTCGCTGCAGGATCAACTTCTAAGGCTTGATCATAGTAACGTTTGGCAAGGTGAAGATCAAATGGTAGCCCCTGTCCATGCTCGTGCATGTACCCCAGGTTGAACATGGCTTGAGCATTTTCCTGAGATTTGGCATGCATATAAGCCTCCGCTGCACGATCATAATCTCGTTCCATACCCTGCACAACAAAGACAAGGGTAAACAAATCAGGAGAAAAAGCAACAGATTAGAACAGTTATTTAGCATCACAACCAAAAATAGGGCACACTAAGTGACTTACAAAACTAGTATCTAAGATAATTCTAGCTCGCTGAATATAATGATAAATGAACGTACCCGACCATAGTAATATGCATCTCCTATCAGCAAAGCAGCATGTTCATTGCCCTGCTCAGAAGCTTGCCACCACAAGTCATGAGCACGTTTGTGCCTGTCTTCATCAGTGCAGATTCCAGATTCTCCCATGCACACGATGTGTTCCCCGTATTTATCAAGGATCCAAGCAGCATTACTTTGTGCAATCTCATACCCCATCTCTGCCAGCCTCGAATACAAAAGGAATGACCTGCTGACATCACCTTTCAGGTATGATTCTAGTGCCCATCTAGACAAGGAACTCCATGGTCCACGCTCTGCAACTAGTTTATATAATGCAGTTGCCTAAATCGAAGCACACATGGTAATTACTGAATGAACAAATTCGCTTCAAAGCCATTTATTTGTTTAAAGCAAAAGAGCAAGAAAGAACACCTCCAAGAAATAAGAGGGGAAATTAGGGAGAGGAAGACAACAAAATTCATGCCTCTGTCCTGCAATTAGTTTATAAAATGTGATTTCCTAAAATTAAGTGTGTACAATAGGGGCAGTAATAGGGCGGGCGGGAGACGGGTCAGCCATTCCTGTCCCATATACCCCGTATGATATTTTTGTTACCTTGCTTCATCCAGATATCCGGTTAAAGCGGGACGGGACGGGGCAGGGTGGGATTGGGACCGGTTTTTTATTTTATTTTTTGCTTTTATTTTTTTTTAATCTTTAATTAGTGAATATCATTACTTATTCCAATTTGTTAAGAGCAACTCGTGTTCTCCTCGAAAATGACGATATATCTTTTCTTTTCCTTTGATAAAAAATTTAAATTTGAAATTAACTTCGAACCAAGAAAGTAACAGGGTCGGGGTAGGGGTAACAACTCCCGTCCCGTCCCTTCCCACCCCCGCTTCATTTACCCGATTAAACGGATAATTTTTGGTCCATTTGGGGCGGTACCCCCCAAGTATCGGGGGGAAAAAGTTTTTTTGCCATCCAGTTGTACAATGCACAAAGAAATTAATTTTAAAACATGTGAGTATGTAAACACTGAAAATAAAATGATGTAAATAGGGAACAATTATCCCCGTCTCCAGAAAAGAAAGTTAAAATGAGAACGAAGAACATCCAATGAGAATTCAACCAAATAAAATTGAATGAGCGAGGGCACTATAGTTTTCTTTTTCGAAGTTGTGCATTAATAGAGAACATACTCAAAAATCCAAAAATTTAAGGTTTCAGGAAAAAAGACATTATTCAAGTTAAAATGCAGTGTGCATAGATATATAAAGAAACACATTTCTAAGATGGTTTACCATGGGAAGATTCTTCTTCAGCCCTACACCTGTGTGGAACATCTTCGCTAATTGGTAGAATGCTTTTGGTCGACCTTCATCGGTAGCGAGTGCAAAATAATTGCATGCTACCTTCAAATCACGCTTCACCCCAAGTCCCTTGAGATACATTACCCCAAGGTTGTAAAACCCACCAGGTTCTTCATTTTCAGCAGCCTTCTCAAAGTATTCTCTTGCCTAGAACAGGAAAGTAAAAATTTACTACTCAATATTCATATTCTTTCAGATTAAAGTAGCCCTCGGACAATTGAAGTCCTGGAAAGTGAAGAAATAGAAAACCGGAGACCAAGATAACACTTCAAGGTGGAGGCAGAGGGGGATACCTGCTTTAGAGAAAAGTTGCATATTGTATGAACAAATGTCATGAATCCCGTTGGATGCAAGGAAATTTCTTTCTCCTCCTCCTAAAGTGCTAGTCAAATCCTCCTATAAGCCCCAGAGCATATTTCCATGTGTCTCGCTAGCCAAATATGTTCTAGTGCTTTTGAACAATTGATCTCATACCTTGTCCCACCAACGGGGTGTGATTTAAAATTTACAAATCAAAATCACACACGCAAACATTCTCTCCCCACCTCCCCTCGTATCCACAATTCTTTCTTCCACCTCTCTCCTTAGACTAATTCTTGATATTATATAGTGGTTGGGATTGTATACGGAATTTGTATATCTAAATAATTGCAATGATAATTGATAATTTGCACTCATGCTATGATTAGTTTCTCCTTTTTTGCATAGTATTTTTGTCTAAGATAGGCCCCACCCACACCATCCTACCCCCCCCCCCAATGATAATTGATAATTTGCACTCATGCTATGATTAGTTTCTCCTTTTTTGCATAGTATTTTTGTCTAATAGGCCCCCCCCCCCCCATCCTCCCCCCCCCCCCACCCCCAAAGAAGAAGAAGGGAAGAAATAAAAAAAATCCTGGATCCACCATTTCTCAATTTCCAAAGAAGAATCAAGATTCTTAAGCCAGAAGAACAGAGAAGTTACGACAATAAACACTAGTGCTTGTCCAGACAACACAAAAAGAATGATACAAAATGCTAAAGAAAGCAAACATGCCCATAAAAGCAGCAGCACACTGTTACTATGTAATAAGAGCCCCTTCAATCCCCTCCCCCAATCCTATGCGCAATAGCAAAAAAAGGGAATGAATAGAAAAGAAAAAAAAGGATATATAGAGAAATATACGTGGTAAGAAGGGAAAAATTGAAACTTTTACCTTGGTATGGTTCTTTTCAACTCCATAGCCCTTTACATATAAATACCCTAT